AGAGGGACGCGAGTGCTTTTGCCTGAGGGGTGGGGGGGCGGGGGGGGGGCTCTGCAACTTACCTGGCTGCTTCTTGCTCCTTGTGGCCTGACTGAGGGCTGCTGGGAGAAGGGGGTGGGGCTTGTTGCATGTACCCGCTCCCTGGGCCCCTTACTGCTGGAGCTCCGCTGCTGTGCGCTCCCGCAGGAAATGACCCCTGGGTGGGTTCTAGATCAAATCAAGCCTGAACGCTCAGTAGTAGTTAAAACAACCAAACTGAGGCTATTGTTCTTTCGTCACATTACGAGAAGACAAGAGGCGTTGGAAAAGTCAATAATGCTGGGAAAAGTTGAAGATTGCAAGACCTGAGCAAGGCTGTTAACAATAGGGGCATTTTGGAGGTCATTAATTCACAAGGTTGCCACAAGTTGGAAGCAACTTTGCAGCACGCAACACACATACACACGCACACACCACTTCATAGGAATCTCTCCTTAATAATAAAAGCGATTTGGGTTGGCAAAGTTTTATGCACGCCAAAATCAGTTGGCCGCCTGAACTGCCATTCCAAAGGTGCTGCCTGCGTTGGCTGGCTGCGTTGTGGGGTCCCGCCCACACAAGCCCCGGTCACCAGCTTGCCCTCAGTATGCACGGAGCCGCTGGATGGAATGCGCGGTCCGGCAGCTGGACGCTTGCCCGATCCCCTTCTTCCCACCCCTGTGCCAGTCGTTGTCACCCCCGGCCAACTTGGCGGCCAGCCTGCGAGCGGACGGGGGCTGGTGCACCACTGGAACGAAGAGCTGTTGAGGCTGCCCAAAGGCTACTGGACACAGCAGGGCCCAGTGATGTGTGGAGGGCAGAGAGGGGGGACGGGCCTCACTTTCCTCTGACGCAACAGGCGCCCTGGCCCCTTCACCACCCACGAGGTCATCGGCCCAAGCCTGCTCCTGCTGCCAGCGGCGCAGCCGTTTTGGGCTGCCGAGGCCCAAGCCATGTCGGCGACCAGGCTGCGAGCAGGCGGGGGCTGGTGTGCCGCCCAGCCAAAGACCCATTAAGTCGGCCCAGAGGCCGCTGCATGCAGCATGGCCCCGGGGTCTGGGGAGGGGGGGAAAGCGAACAGAAGGTCCTCACTTTGATTCGACGTGACGAGCGACCCGGCCCCTTCACCAGCTGTAGGTTCATCGGGATGAGCCCGGGCCTGCTGCCACCATGGCCATACTAGCCCACCGAGGCAAGCCGGCGGACAGCCTGCATGTGGAAGGGGGCTGGCACGTTGCTGGGGCACACGGACATCAAGGCGGCCTGGAGGCCCCCAGCCGTGGCTGCCCAGGAAGCCAGTCGCTGTCCACCGACCCCAGGGTCTGTGGAGGGGGGGAAAGCGTGGGACAGGGGGCCCTGTCTTTCTAGCACCCGTTGTCTTCTCCCTACAACAGGCTTCCCTCCTAGTACATTATAAATCTATTTCTCTGGAGCAGAGGTGTCAAACTCATTTGTTTTGAGGGCCAGATCTGACATAAATGAGACCTTGTTGGGCCGGGCCATGTGTGTCATAAAATGTAATGCCAGGTAGCAGAGATATAAACTTTATAAAGGACACAAACACAAAGGGTTTTTTTTTACTTAAAATAAAAGCATGCTTAAAACATCAGCTCTGTAAGCTGCAAACCTACTTATTGACATTCACCACAGAAATCTCAATCTCAGAGTTCTGAGTCTAGGACCCAGGTTAAAACATGAAATGGCTGAGTGATTAAGAGAATCTGTTGAAGCAAGCTATGATGCAGCACCAGCAGCACCAGCAGAACTGGAAGCAGGAGATGGCCAATTCCACTGTGGGCCTGATGGAAGCCCTCTGGGGGCCTGATCTGGCCCCCAGGCCACATGTTTGACACCCCTGCTCTAGAGCAACTGGTCAGAGTAATTTATAACTTTAATGCTGTGTCTGTTCACAGCAGTTTGAAAACATACATGTATCATGTATATCAGATGAAATTCTTACATTTCGGATGTGTCATTCAACTACATTCGCTTTGTCAGAAAGAACGTACCGAGATTACAACCAACAAATTAATCAGCTAGAACTGCAGCTGCTTAACTGGTTTTAGCCAGCAATAACACTTTTAATCAGGTTTTCAGAAAATTAAAGACATGCTTGTTTCTATTGAAAGTTGTTCTGGAGCTGGTATTTTATTGTTGCATGGAATGCGGGGAAATTAAAAGGTAGTTTTTTCCTTCTGCCAGCGTAGAAGGTTTTGTTGGTTAAATTGGTAGGTATATTTCATACTTCCTTCAGAATCTCAAAAAGGCACCTATTAAGGTGTTGTAAATATGCAAATTGACTTAATCAATTAATTCATGCATTCAAAAGCAGATGTTTAACCAGAAATTATTTAATCAATTTACAGTCCTAGACTCTGAGCTGGGGACAAACACTGATTGTGAAAACACCTGGGAGTCTCTCAGATTTGCATCAGAATGGCCCACTCTGCGGATAACCCTCCCCCCAAAAGTGGGGGGAGTACTGAACACCAGGGGGGGGAAAGCATTGATGGCAAAGCCAGTGTGTTGCAATAGGAATAGATGGGGGGTGGGATGCAGTTTCACATTTCCCACTCAGCCATGAAATTCATGGGGTGTCTTTGGGCCAGTCATTCTCCCTTGGTGTAACCTACCTCAAAAGGTTGTTGTGAGGCTAAAATGAGAAAGGGAGGAAGGACAAGATGAAAATGTGATACCTTCACTAAAAATTCCCAGCGCTTTCCCCAAATCTTCTTCAGCAGAGTCAGTTACTTATACAACCAGTTACACAGGAAACCCTATCAAATAATTAAGTAAAACTGCAGTATGAATCACATCAGCTAAAACACTAATGCCCATGTGATAGCACAACTACGAATGGGCATGAACTACAAAAATGTGTTTCAGTTCATGGTTTGTGGGTGAACCACGAACTGAACTACAAACCCCATGAACTCAGTCGGCTCATATAACTGGACTGGGTTTTAGGGTTTGTGCCCAAAACTGCTGAGCCCACAGCTCAGCAGTTTAAAGAAGCTTTCTTCGGCAGCCAGTCCCAGGTTTCTGCTCCCTGCAGCTTTTCGCAGGTTTTCCCCCTGCTCTTCACAAACACCCACAAACTGCATCGAAATTTGTGAAAACTCATGGCAGTTCTTCAGTTTGCAAACATTGCTTCACAAAGTACAAACCAGCCAAAATTTGTGATGAACTTTAGTTTATTAGCCTGTTTGTGCCCATCCCTACATACCAACCTTTTTCTACGGAGCAAAAAAACCCTGTTCCCAACAAAACTGTTTTGCACAACTGTTTTGCACAACCCTTTAAAACTGGAAGATCATTGTGACTATGTTATTATGTGGGTATAAGTAGCACTTTAAGTGATGCCTCTTTAATTAATTTTGGTTAGGATTTGCTGTCTGTTTGGCTCTGTGGGTTTTTGTAGAGTCTCCTGAAGAAGATCTGCAAAATGCATTTGCGTGCTTTGAAATTTCTATTGCATCTTATTGGCTTTGCCCTCCGAATTATTTCTTTCCCCTTGTCAGTTAGAGATGGGCTTGCATGGAAATTGCTGTGTTGAAGAGCATAGTTTTAATTACAGGGGGCGACATGTGGCTTGACGCTGGTGCTTTTATCTTGTTTACTCCTTTCCCCTTGTAGGCCGAGAGTTTCTAAGTGAAGATGAATACTTGGAGATCACAGGGATCACCAGGTACCAATCTGGGGACTATGAATGCAGCGCTGCTAATGAGGTCACAATACCAGATATCCGGAGGGTAAAGGTTACCGTAAACTGTAAGTACTGTACCATATGGAGCAACAACAAAAAATTCCATAGCAACATAGAGCTGGAAGGGACCCCAGGGCTCATCTAATCCAACCTCCTGCACAATACAGGAAATTCAAAGCTGCCTCCAACACTCCCCCAGTGGCCCTTTCTCTACGCCCAGAGGAAGGGGGGGGGGAAGCAACAAAACAAAAACCCTCCAGGATCCCTGAGCCCATCTGGCCTGGAGGAAAGTTCCTTCCTGACCCCAAAGTGGTGATCAGCATTTCCCTGGGCATGTCAGAAAGGGCCACAAGAACTAAGCACTGAGGCAGCCCTTCGTGCCCTCCCTTCTCATGATCTGCCTAAATTCGTAGAATCGGCATTGATGTCAGTTGGCCATCTAGCCTCACCTCCCAAGGAAGCCTGTTCCACTGAGGAAGTGCTCTGTCAGGAAGTTCTTCCTAATGTTCAGCTGAAAACTCTTTTGATTTAATTTCAGCTCATTGGTTCTGTTCCAGGCCTTCTGGGGCAACAGAAAACAACTCTTCTCCATCCTCTATCTGCTTCATAGTAACATTCATCATCATTATCGGGGTGGGGGGGGGAGAGAGACCAAGCCCTATATGAGAAAAGGCTGAGGGACTTGGGAATGTCCAGTCCAGAGAAGAGGAGGTCGAGGGGGGACATGATTGCTCTCTTTAAGAATTTGAAGGGCTGTCACTTAGAGGAGGGCAGGGAGCTGTTCCTATTGGCAGCAGAGTATAGGACTCACACAAATGGGTTTAAATTAAGGGCAGGAAGGTACTGGGTGGATCTTATGGAAAACTTTTTGACAGTCAGAGTTGTGCAACAGTGGAATCAGGTGCCTCTGGAGGTGGTGAGTTCCCCCTCACTGGCAGTCTTTAAGCAGCGGCTCGACAAACACTTGGCAGGGATGCTCCAGGCCGATCCTACATTGATCAAGGAGGTGGACTAGATGGCCTGTATGGCCCCTTCCAACTCTGTGATTCTATTATTCTGTTATCATCATCATCATGGCATTGTGTGTGGTATTGCCAGGAGATCCTAAGATTGTCTGACAGGCAGAAGTTCTAGCTCTTTAGCATTATGCACCACTAGGCAGCGAGCTAGACTTGTTTTTTAGGCAAGAGACTTTCCAGAGATGGTTTGCCATTGCCTGCCTCTGTGTCACGGCCCTGGTATTCCTTGGAGGTTGCTGTTCCAAGTACCAACCACGGTCAGACCTGGTTAGGTTCTGAGATTTGACTATTACACCCCTCCAAATTGTGTTGCTTTTGGAAGTGTTCAGCTTACCTGACATTCAAATTGGCTATTTCCTAGTTCTGTTTCTTAACTGCAACTCAACCCCTAGTTGTATATCATTTCATTTCTGACATACTGGCGGAGGCTGAATCAAGAAGAAATGGAGCTTTCCCACTCACCTGATCTCCTGTAGCTCTCTGGACCTCCTAAAAAGTGTTCCTGAGAGTTTTGGGAGATGTTCAGGACCTGTGGGGGCTACAGGCTGAATGGGAAATGTGTGGAATATCAGATCTTCTCTGTGCAGGGTTGCCAGATATCTCTTCTCCCCCCCCCCCCCCAGCAACTGGAGGTGTGGAAGATTGGGTTGCCAGCCTCAAGTTGGGAGACTTCTGGAGATTTGGAGGTGGAGCGTGGGGAAGTCAGGGACCTAAGTGGAGCACAATGCTATAGAATCCACCCTCCAAAGCATCCATTTTCTCCAGGGGAATTGATCTCTGTAGTCTGGAGATGAGTTGTAATCCCAGCTCCCACCTGGTGGCTGGCATCGCTATCTCTGTGGAAGCAGAAATGCTTTCCAGTCATACAGCAGCACCTTAGACCCAACCCCTTATATTTATGTAATGCATACAGATACAATATAATGACTAGAAGCATACACAAAAACCAGATAATTTCCATCAGAACTTCTGCAGAAAGTCTGTTTATATCTGGGATATATCTGGTAACAGGGTTCCCCCCACACACACTTGAGGAACTATCATCATCATCATAATTAAGAACATATCTCTGTTGGTTAATATTACATGTGACACATTAAAATATCCTTGCCTTGGAAAGATATTTATACCACTTTTTTAAAAAATGGCTAAAATGATAGGAAAAAGAACATACATTTCATTGCATGTGGTGTAGTGGTTAAGTGCACGGGCTCTAATCTAGGAGAGTTTGATTCCCCACTCCTCCACTTGCACCTGCTGATGTGACCTTGGGTCAGTCACAAGCTCTGGCACAGCTGTCCTTGAAAAAGAGCAGTTTCTGTCAGAGCTCTCTCAGCCCCACCCACCTCACAGGGTGTCTGTTGTGGGGAGGGGAAGGGAAAGGAGTTTGTAAGCCGCTCTGAGACTCCCCTGGGTAGTGAAGGGCGGGGTATAAATCCAATCTCCTCCTCCTCCTCTCCTTCTTCTCCTTCTTCTCCTTCTTCTTCTGCATTGCTGGACAATTCACTCACTTGGTGAGAATTCAGAGGCCAGATGCTTTGAGCTCTTTTAAAAAAGGCATGTCCACAAACGGCTCTTGGGATTCCAGAGGGGGGCTTGAGTGCCACTGAATCTGTGACCTGTTTAAAAGGCATTCTCACAGGTGAATTCCCTCATATCCTTTTCAGTGAAGTCAGAGTTCAGGGTTTCCTTCTCAGCTTACTCCTTTTGGCTAACAAGAAGTCCAACATCCAACATCAGAGGATAGGAGGATCAGAAGACAGAAGGTAGCACTAATCAATCAATCAACCAATCAATCAATCAATTAACTTAATGCCCCTCCCTTCTCACTGAGACTCAAGATGAAATTACAAAAACAAAAGCGATTCATTGGATAGCATAAGACACCCAAGGGAAAATGCAACAGGACTAGGAGTACCGAAATTAGGAAACAATGCAAACAGGAGGCTGTCTGAGGAATAATATTCCATCATGCAAAAGTGGATCACAAAGGTAGAGCGTGTGTTGTGGTGCACAGGGAAATAAAAGGGGTTAACAGAGAATGGCTTGAAAAGAGAGTAAAATGTGTAATAACTGCTTTTCCACAGATAAGATAGTGATGTGGACTTCCTGAGGTAATCAGGGCTCTTTTTGTAGAAAAAGCCCAGCAGGAACTCATTAGCATAATAGGCCACACCCAACAACAAAACCCATTAGCATATTGGGCCACACCCTGACAGCACCACTCATTAGCACATTAGGCCACACCGCCATGTTACCAGAAGTGTGGTCATCCAGCCACACTCACCTTTCCCTTCTTATTCTGTTTACCTTGTTTGTGGTCAAAACCCAGGGCTTTTTTGTAGCAGGAACTCCTTTGCATGTTAGGCCACACACCCCTAATGTAGCCAATCCTAATGAGTTTCTGCTGTTGGGTGTGGTCTATTATGTTAATGAGCTCCTGCTGGGCGTGGCCAACTGGGGAGCCAGCCGGAACTCCGTTCCTGTGCGTTCCTGCCCAAAAAGAGCCCTGCTGAGGTTAGTAATCACGTAAGAGGCCCTCAAGAGCGTGTTGAGTCGGACAGCTGTGGTGCTGGTATCAGCATTCCACTGAATCCTTCCAAAATACAAAGTGATCCTCTGTAAATCTTTGGCTAGGGAGAGCACGTAGACAACAGAGGCCATTGCACGCCCCCATAATTGTCTGCCAGAGCTAGTTCTCTGGCCAAGCTACTCCTGCAACTATTGGGAGGGAGTGACCTATAGTAAGGCTTGATTCTCTTCTAGCCATTAGCAACATGGTAGGTGACATGGCTGAGCCTTGGCTGAGGTGACAAAATACCTTGGACTGGCACTGTGGGTTATGCTCAAACCATTTCGCAGAGTGCTTCAAAACAACCGTTTTCTGAACCAAGATGATATTGGGGCACAATAAAAAAGAAATCATTCTGTACACCGTAGGGGAAATGATACCTTTAAGTTTTCAAAAAGATGATGCATCATTGTCTGTCTCCAACAACCCAAATACCAAGTGATTTTTATCAACAGACAATTTGAGGGCTCTTGAGCATTCTTCAGAAATGGTAGAGAATTGGACTGTTGCGCATCCAGAATAGCATTGGAGAAGCAAAGACTAGGACGAATGATTGGAAATTTTAATATTATTATTTCAGGACATGTTATACAACAGTCGAAGTGGACCAAAATTTCACCCCTTTAAACCTCGATAAGGGAGAACAGAAACCTGGCCATGCAAAGCCCAGCACGGGAAATACCCGGAGATACAAAAATGGTGGACCTCCTGATGGCACCTGGCTTTTGGCCACTGTGTGACCCAGAGTGTTGGACTGGATGGGCCACTGGCCTGATCCAACATGGTTTCTCTTATACAAAAATGTGGATGGTATCCTAGGGATGCCAGCCTCCACATGGGACCACATGGGACCAGTGTTCCCTCTAAGCTGAGTTAGTGTGAGCTAGCTCACAGTGTTTTAGCCTCCTGCTCACACATTCTTGTCTTAGCTCAGGAAGAATGGCTCTAGAGCCAACTAATTTATGCAGCAGCCAAATCGCCTGCTCACAACTTTAATGCCGGTAGCTCACAAAGTAGACGTTTTGCTCACAAGACTCCACAGCTTAGAGGGAACATTGCTGATGGGACCTGGGGATCCCCCAGAATTACAGCTCGTCTCCAGACTACAGAGATCAGTTCCCCTGCAGAAAATGGGTGCTTTGGAGGGTGGACGGGATGGTATTGTACTCCCCTGAGGTCCCTGTCCTCGCCAGGCTCCACCCCAACCTGTTTCTGGCACCAACCTGGATCAGGCACCCTAACACTTCCCCCTACCCTGCTGGTGGCCAGGCGGGACCTGACAACCCTAGTTTGTAGCCTAATTAGAGAAGTGGCTAAGAAGCAGGTCGACTTAAAGCAGCAACGGAAGCTTTAATTGTGGCCAGTGTTCCCTCTAAGCTGAGTTAGTGTGAGCTAGCTCACAGTTTTTTAGCCTCCGGCTCACACATTTTTGTCTTGTCTCAGGAAGAATGACTCCAGAGCAAACTAATTTATGCAGGAGCCAAATCACTCACTCACAACTTTAACGCCGGGAGCTCACAAAGTAGAACTTTTGCTCACAAGACTCCACAGCTTAGAGGGAGCATTGATTGTGGCTGTTCAGGACTGTGTCATTGCAACCAATAACGATCAAACTGCATAACAAATATAAGTTTGGGAAATGCAAAGATAAACGAGGAACGACTGGCTACATAATAGCAGTCTAGGCAGCTTCCACAGACTTCCCCTCCACATCTTCTGCTGTCAAAAAGGAGTGCTGTTTCTTCTACCAGTTGTCATCCAGTTTACAAGTTTTCCCCCCCCCCATCCCACAGTAAACCTGCTTTACTACAGATCTTTTTCTGGAGAGAATGCAATCCCGAATGTGCGAGCACACTGTCTGAGCAGACAGTTCACATTTTTGGAGAAGGTCCCAGCTGCATCAATGTCATTTTCTGCCCTCATGGCCACTGTTTTTCCTGCCACACCCCAAAGGATTTTAATTGCTATAGTGCTATAACAGTTTAAAAAACAACAACACAACAACCCCGTAGTGATGCAGCAGGGGAAATGGCAGTTTATGGCAGAATTAGTATAAGGAAAAAAAAAAAACCATGTGGATGCTCCATTACTAATGCATGCAAACCAGAGAATTGTTGCCATGTGCCAGCGGCCCTGTTTTGCCAGAGACAGGTTGCAAAAAAACAAATCATCATGTTGATATGGTATGTAGTAATCACTTTAGAATTGCCCCAAATGATATTGGGAAATGATTTCTAGAGCAATTTCTCACAGAATATTGCCCCCTTAAGTCTTTCTTCCAGAAGATACTCAAGAATTTGTTTTAAATGCCGTAGTCTTTGCTAGGTTCTGGGGAAAGATCCGTAACTCCAAATAACAGAGGAGTGGTTGGAGAAACGAAAGTGTACGGTTGACTAAACTAACTTGTATGTTGCAGGTTAAAAAGTTGGATAAATTTGATAAAATGGAATGTTATTCTGACTAGGATGTTGAACTGAACTTAATAATGGTTATTTGATTTGATTGATAGAATTAGAGATGAATTTGTAAAGTTTTGTATCCAGCTTTCTTTTTACTGAATAAAGTTTTTATTAACACCCCCCCCCAAAAAAAGCAGAATTACCTTTTTCCTATCAACGTAATCCTGATCCAGTTATTGTTAAACCATTTATAAGAAACAAAACTATCGGTTGCAATCTTGGTGAATTAAAAACTAAAATTTCTACTACGGTAGATATTACAATACTTCTCACACGTAAACACAGAGGGAGAAAAAGCTGAAAATAAATACCACAGTAACTGTGAAAATAAAGAGTGTCTGGAAGCTCAAGTCTCTTCATTTGTTACCACTGTTAAAATCAGCTGCAGATGTCGTTCCAAATATCCTGAAGCGAATACAGATGCCATTGTTTATCACTTAGCAAATAACCAGGATATTCTTAAAGAACAATTAATGTTCCTTAGGGAATGAGGCTTGAGATACCTGTTTGTGCTGGGGATACTATGAAGAAAATGGGAAACCCATAACCACAGTATGGAATAAATACACTACTTGCAATCTTTCTGGTAGGTCTGATTGCCATTTCTTCTGAAAGGGGCAACATGTGGATTTTCTGCCTCTGCTAGGGTTGCCAAGTCACTTCTAATAGCAGGGGAGAGTTGGTCCCTGCCCAGGACATTTGCGCCCACGCGCCGCGATGATATCGCCCAGAAGTAACGTCATCACGTGGGGCATGTCGCTGGCTGACACTCTAGCAATCAGCCTGGAAACTCTGTGGTACCATAGAGTTTTCAGGCTGATTGCTAGAGCATCAGCTGGCGACGTGCCCAGTGCAGGTGACATCATCGTGTCAGGCACATCGGCCTGAACCAGGCAGTTTGGGGGGCGGGGTTCCCCCATTGGCCTTTTCTGGTCCAGCAGATTGGGGACCCTTTTATTGGGGGAACCACCGCCCTCCCGGGGGATCTGGCAACCCTAGCCTCTGCCCACAGGTCCCAGACCCCCAGATAAATCCAGGATTTGGCGTGCATGTTCCAAATCAGGAATGTTATGTCCAGGGGTCATTTTGTAGAAAAAGAGGTGCAGGAGCTCATTAGCATAACTCATTAGCATAATTTATTTGCATATGCCACACCTCCTGACATCACTGGAAGTGTGTCAGAAGGCAACACCCACCGCTCAGGCTCCACTGGACTGTTTTTGATTCCTAGCTATTGGGGGGGGGGACGTGCAGATCTGTCTTGGCAGAGGAGGGAGAGCTTGTACCTGAATAAACCTTGGTCTTAAAGGTGCCACTTTTGGCTATTTTGGACCAGGGGACCGGGGGGGGGGGGCTCTGCAACTTTCCTAGCTGCTTCTTGCTCTGCCTGAGGGCTGCTGGGAGCAGGGGGTGGGGCTTGTTGCATGTGCCCACCCCCTGGACTCTTTACTACCGGAGCTCCGTTCCTGTGCGCTCCTGCAGGGCATGACCCCTGGTTATGTCTGTTGTCCCTTTCAGAAGAAATGGTGATTGTGCATATCAAGAGGATTGCATGTAATACACACAGTGAAACGTATATGTGGTCAAACATAATGACTGAGAATGACTCTCTGTTTGTAATCCCGTAAACTCAAGAAATATACGTGGTTCTGCTTTACCACTCCAGGAAGTGCTCTTGAATGTGTCTCCTTTCCACTGAGCTCCGATCAGGTCAGTCGGCGGCCAGCTATGCAATCTAAACTTATCGCTGAGACTTTTGCAGAACCGTCCGGCTGCTTTCCGCGAGACTTTGGAATCATTCTCCTTTCCTCCTGCAGACCCTCCATCCATCTCCAACGCCAAGAACACAGGAGCCTCGGTCGGCCAGAAGGGGATCCTGCGCTGTGAAGCCTCTGCTGTCCCCGTAGCAGAGTTCCAGTGGTTCAAAGAAGAAACCAGGTATCTTGGCAGAGCTTCCAAACTTTCAGAAGGGATCTCTCAAGAATGGCAGGTGTATGTCCTTGGCCAGGAGGGCCTCGGCGAGAGCAGCCGTGTGTCATATCAGTGGGGCTGAAACTGGGCAAAGGTTTGGTCCCACAGATTGGCTTAGCTTCCAGGCTTAACCCTGATTTGCGTGAGAGATGTGATAAGGGCGCACCAGTTTGGTGTAGTGGTTAAGTGCGTGGACTCTAGTCTGGGAGAGCCGGGTTTGATTCCCCACTCCTCCACTTGCACCTGGCTGGGTGACCTTGGGCAAGCCATAGTTCTGTCAGAGGTGTTCCTGAAAAAGAGCAGTTTCTGTCAGAGCTCTCTCAGCCCCACCTACCTCACAGGGTGTCTGTTGTGGGGAGGGGAAGGGAAAGGAGTTTGTAAGCCGCTCTGAGACTCCCTTGGGTAGTGAAGGGCAGGGTATAAATCCAATCTCTTCTTATTCCTCTTCCTCTGAGCATATGCAAAGTGCCATTCATTCAACTAGCAAACCCCTTCTCCCCATATAGCTGAACTTCCACATCAGAGGCTATTAATTTCACACATGCAATAAGGCTCTAGAAGTTCAGGCCTGTCTATCAGGGATAAGTTGACAAACATGAGAGGCACCCTTCCCACCCCATCCTCTTCCTCTGCCATGTTAGTATGTTGTAGTGTTATGTCGCTGCAACAGTTCTAGCAATGCAATTGAAGTTTCAACACACTGCAGCGTGTCCCATTATCTTGATATGAAACTGCCTTCTGCGATGTCAAACTGTGGTCCATCTATCCCAGCACACTCTATTATGACCGGCACTGTCTTCCCAAGGTCTCAAGCCACAGGGGGCATTATGGTAAATGCCCAGCTACTAGTGGGCACCTAGTCCCCTTTCTTGCCTCCATAAATTCTAGTGGAATTTTATCTCTTATTATCATGCCATGGCATTCTGCATTTCCAGACTCTATCTTTACACCGTTGGCTGATGATGGCAGAGGGAGAGAAATGTCGTTTGCCATGTCATGAGATACTCTCTATCGGATGGGCTAGGTTCCAAGAAGTTATTCAGGGTATAAGTCATCAGCAGTCACAGCTCCCATCTGTATTTGCCAGATACTGATATCCAGGGGTCATTTCGTAGAAAAAGAGGTGCAGGAGCTCATTAGCATAACTTATTTGCTTGTACCTGAATAAAACGTGGTCTTAAAGGTGCCACTGGACTTTTGGGGGCCAAGGGGCGGGGGGAGGGGGCCTCTGCAACTTACCTGGCTGCTTCTTGCTCTGACTGAGGGCTGCTGGGAGCAGGGGGTGGAGCTTGTTGTATGTGCCCGCTCCCTGGTCTCTTTACTGCTGGAGCTCCACTGCTGTGCGCTCATGCAGGAAATGACCCCTGCTGATATCTGACAAAGTGGGCTTTGGCTCTCTTTTTTTTGTATTTTTCCATTTGTGTGTCTGTGTTGTGTATGCCCATGCCTGGAAGTTATGGTGACCTCTGGAGTGTGGAGGACGTTCAGAGAAGTGGCTTGATAGCTTCCCTCTGCCTCTCATAGAAGTGGCTTGATAGCTTCCCTCGGCCTCCCGGCCCTGGTATTCTTTGGAGGTCTCCTGTCCAGGATCAGCCCTGCTTAGCTTCTGAGATCAGGCTTGCCAGGGCTATCCAGGTCAAGGTTAAGGGAGATTTGACTCTTGAAACCTTATACCCCCCCAAAAAAAACCAAGCTTGTTAAGAACATAAGAACATAAGAGATGCCAATGTTGGATCAGGCAAAGGCCCATCCAGTCCAGCACTCTGTATCACACAGTGGCCAGAAATACCAGTGCCATCAGGAGGTCCACCAGTGGGGCCAGGACATTAGAAGCCCTCCCACTGTTGACCCCCCCCAGCACCAAGATGACAGGGCATCACTGGCCCCAGCCTGAGAGTTCCTTATACCTTGTGGCTAATAGCCACTGATGGACCTCTGCTCCATATGCTTATCTAATTCCCTTTTGAAGCCGTCCATGCTTGTAACCGCCACCACTTCCTGTGGCAGTGAATTCCATGTGTGAATCACTCTTTGGGTGAAGAAGTACTTCCTTTTATCCGTTCTAACCCGACCGCTCAGCGATTTCATGGAGTGCCCACGAGTTCTTGTCTTGTGAGGAGGGGAGAAAAGTACCTCTTTTGTTGGTCTCTAAGGTGCTACTGAACTTGAATCTAGTTTTTCTACTGCCGACCAACACAGTTACCCTCTGAAATTTTCTATCAATGTTACAAGGGGCGAGGAGGAATAGATGCACGGCTGCTTTTTTTTTTGGCAGGCTCCATGTATCTGCCGTAACATTTACTTTGGCCTTCAGACAGATGTCTTTCCCAGATGTGCTGAGATGGCAGGGATTTAAGCGAATACTGAGCTACAGATCTTCCCCTAAAAGTTCCGGATAGAAATTAATTACACCGCTGGGTGATGTGGACTAACCCAGGCCCTGTGTTTTATCCACCCCCTCCCAGATTAGCCAACGGACTGGATGGCGTGAGGATCGAGAACAAAGGTCGGATGTCCACGCTAACCTTCTTCAACGTTTCAGAGAAGGATTACGGCAACTACACCTGTGTGGCCATCAATAAACTGGGGAACACCAATGCCAGTATAATACTGTATGGTAGGTACACCGCCCGTGCCCACAGGGCTTGCACATGACACACCTTTAGGGGTACCAATGAAGGGGGTGGGCAATGACTGGATCCTTGGTGTCTGGAATTTCAGAAAAAGAGCTACGTCTGTATGGCAGGAGCCAGCCTCTGACTTTGATGTCGCCCAGGGCAGTGCCATTCCAAACAGAGTTAACAGTCTTTTAAATCCAGTGACGTCAGTGAGCATAGAAAGGTATAACTCTGCTTAGAACGGCACAGTAGATTGCGCAGTGCAGTGATGTAGAGGATCCAGTGGTTATTCCTCAGGCACAGGAGGGTTTTTATCAAATCTACGTTCTCAAAGGGCAAAATTGGGACAGTAAACTGTAATGGCTAGTTGGAAGGTTCCTATTTGCTGGGACTGGAATAGCTGCAATTTCAAGTTTTCATTTTGTTAGAAATTGGAGATCGGCCCCAAATATTGGATGAGGTCATTTTACTTTGAACGTGTTCTGCAAATGAGAGAGGTCGATACCGCCTTGGATCGCTTTACTGCTTTAAAACAACGTTGACACAGTAACACTGCCCTTGTTAGACATAACGTGTTTTTTTGTACGAGCCGTTGGTTTTATGTGCAGGGCCACTTTTTACAAATTAACATATCAATGCATTAATAAAACCCTGCAATTTCCCACAATGCACGGTCATTTTTTTTAAGTAAATATCCTTTATTTTAAAAAATGGACCTTCTCTAAGATACATTCAACATGAGGCTATTTTACTACCATATTGAAGCACTGTAAGCATATGTTTTCTGCATACGTAGATCCTGGAATGGAAATATCCTTCCCAATAAATCAGTTAATCACTGTTTTCCTTTCCTTGCTCCAGCACTGTAAGAAAAGGCTTCTATCCATTTAATTATGACTATCTCCACCCATGTAAATCTTCTATTTTCAGAAGTTCCAATCCTGTCAATGAGGCTTCAAAATGTTACAAAGGAAGCACCCATGACTCGTGCATCCTTTGCCGCATCTCCCAATGTAACACTCAAAGCACTGACTCATTCATCTGCCCCACAGAAAGGTTTAGGGGCAGTGAGATGCATGTGTTTTGTACAATGGAAGCACCAAAAAAGGCATTCAGTTGAGTCCCACCTTTTGGACCATTGACAGAAAGCAACCAGTGCGAGGGGTAGCAAAGTTAGACGGGATGCTTATTGCAGAAACCTGCTCAGGTTTAAAAATATTATAGGCAGGAGTGAAAATGGCCATGGAGCAAGACAAGCTGAGTGGTCCCTCAAGCCAGCACTGCAGTGGTCACTCAACCCAGCGGTACATTAGCTCACCCACTGCTCCCTCCTGAAAACTGGCAGGAAACCAGGAGAAGATAAGAACATAAGAAGAGCCCTGCTGGATCAGACCAGTGGTCCGTCTAATCCAGCATCCTGTCTCCTCACACAGTGACCAGCCAGTTCCTTTGGAGGGCAAACAACAAGGCATAGAGGTTGTTCAGTAGTGGGTTTAACACGGCAGAGGCGAAGGCAGAGTGATTTCAGCAAGCAGCCGTTTATTGCATCTCAACAGGAATGCTTTACATGGGGCAACTGCCCTAACTATATACACCTAAGCCACTCCCAGCCCCACTGCAATTGGTGAGTTCAAATGGCTCCAGATTGGTTGGCTGCCCTCAGGGGCCCAATCTGCAGGCAGGTTCCAGGATCCTGCCTGCCTTTGTTCTGGGGCTTCAAGCTCCAACTAGGTGGCCTGCCCAGACAAGCCCAGACATGCCTCCCCACTCTCCATCTAGGTGGCCTGCCAGACAAGCCCAGGCATGTCTCCTTATGCTGGCTACTAGCAGTTAAGCTTGAGTGGAAGATTGCGCATGTCCAGACATAACAGAGGCCAAGGCCTTCCCCCAGTGTTGCCTCCTGGCACTGGGCTTCATGCCTCTGAACATGGAGGTTCCCTTTAGTCGCTGTGACTAGTAGCCACTGACATGCCTATCCTCCATGAACCTATCTAATCCCCTTTTAAAGGTCTCGATGCCTGTGGCCATCACTAAATCTACTGGCAGAGAATTCCACATTTTACTCACTCTCTGTGTAAAGAAGCATTTCCTTTTGTCTGACCTGAGATTCTTGGTGATACTTGGTGACCTGAGACCAGTTACCATTGCCGATGAAGGACCTGAGCCAAGTGGCCTATGAGGCTCTGGCAGAGGTGCTAGAGCTGTATTGTGCTTGCTCCCAGCTACTGGCAGCCCTCTGGTCGACGGCCCACGCCGGGAGATTTCCCTGTCAGTGAAATGGCCAATCCATCCCACGCTTAAAGGACTAAACATCAATGAACAGAATACCCTAGTACCACTATGTACTGTACAAGTCAGGCCACAGCTGAAGATTATTTGTGTGTATGTGTGTGTGGGGGGGTCTGTCTACCCTAAACGGCTGCTATTGCTTGTGTTCTCAGAGCACAGAATTAAGGTGGTGTATCTGCTCAACCCAATGCCATGTTATCAAAGCAAATTCAAGCTATATTCCTGCAAATGCTTTCATTTTTTTTAAAGACGGGAACCATACGCTCCCCAGCACTGTGTTATATGTTAGCATGCCAAGTCTCACCCATAACTTCCATTGCTGTGTGGTCTCTGTCTAAATTAAATGGGTCGTCTTTCTAATCATCCATCCGTCCATCCATTCAACTGTCTGAAAATATGAACTACATTCTCCCCCTCTTTCCCCCCCCCTTTCCTGTTTTCTCTCCTGCTCCTCCCTCCCCTGTGTCCATTGTCTTCTGTTTTAGAACTAAGTGAACCTCCAGCATTGGCAGGTTGGTACAGCATGGCTGCTTTTTTAATTTGCTTGCAATATGCCAATCGCCGCTACGCCAACAAAGGAAAGGGCTGGGTCCCGGAACTGTCCAGTAGGGTGCTTGTTATGGATAGGGACTGACAGCTGATATCGAGACAAGATGCAAGGGAGGATCTAGGGTGGTAATCTTAAGCACCAGTTTAGAAGTCCCGAACTCATTTTTGGGTGGGGGATAACGTTGTGGTGGAAAGCGGGGTCAAGTTGCCTACTTATGGTAACCTTGTAGGGTTCTCAAGGGAAGAGATGAACAGAGGTGGTTTGCCATTGCCTGCCTCTGTAGAGCAACCCCGGACTTCCTTGGTAGTCTCCCATCCACGTAATAACCAGGGTCAGTCCTGCTTAGTTTCCAAGATCTGATGAGATCAAGCTAGGCTGGGCTATCCTGATCAGAGAGGGGATAATGTGGTTTCAGTAGAAATGTGGGGGGGGGATAAATCGTGGCTCTGACATCTATCCATATCGAGACTTTTTTTTGCTGCACATGGGGAGGCTGCTATATGCTGTTCTGATATTAGAGACAACGAGGCTTTTAAGGATCTTTTTAAAAAAGGATATACTTGTTGCATCCCGAATCTCTGAAATTTCTTCCAATGTGCCTTTCAAAAGAAAGCCACTTCAGAATAGGCAGAGCATGGGTAATGCATGGAGAAACAAGGCAGTGACCTGCCTACATCGTCCTATTTCGGAAGACTCTGAGCCAAACTAAAAGGGGTGGTAGCCACTGGCCCATCCCATGGCCACCACCATTTTGGAAGCATTTGTAGTTCTTTAAAAAGAGCCACGAGGCCCAATCCGGATTGGGCATGCCATGCAGGCCCAGGAGCTCCCATTCTTCCCCTGTGACTTCTCGGGTGCTGTAAAAGGTGCATGGGGGGGGGCAAGAGCCTCAGGGGCCATGGTACCAAATGCCTAATCCAGAACGGGCCCTGCGGCAATGTTCAAAGAACGACAAATGCTTCTAGAATGGTGGCATCCATGGGATGAAGCCATGGCCGCCACCACGTTTAGTTGGGACCGGTGTAAAGCAGAAAACAAGCAAGTAGGGGGCGGGAAGGCAGTGGGCCAGGACGAGTGTTTAAACGAAACAGTCAGATGCGCCAAAATGACTTCAAACTGTGCATGAGATCAAGTGGAACCGACTCTGGTATTAATCTGTAATCTGAAAAGCAGCAGAAGGCACAGTGGGGAAGAGATAACAAATGCTTGCGTCTTGACCCCGAGAAAGGAGAAGCAAAAATAGTCGTATAAGCGGCAGAAACCTGGGCCCCAGGGCCCTCTGCCTGGGAAACAACCCCTTGACCTGCAAGGGGAGGAAGGAAAAAGAAAATGTAAATCCCTCTAGAGTAGCGTACACCTTTTCAATGAGTTTGGTATTGCAAGAGAAAGGACTTTCAGGTCAACAAGTTGTTGTGTAACTAAATCACTGGCAGTCTTCAAAGCAGCGGCTGGACGAACGCTTGACAGGGATGCTTTGGGCTGATCCTGCACTGATCAGGGAGTCGGACTCGATGGCCTGTCTGGCCCCTTCCAACTGTGTGATTCTGTGATTCTGTCATCCACATGAAGGCTGTGCTCAAAGGGCTTAGGGCGTCACAAAGAGGAAGTGCCCAGTGTCTGCTCACCTTACAAGCAAATGGGTTTCTGTAAGTCCATTGTGTCTTGAGTTGCAGAGCCACAGAGAAGAATGGCACCTGAGAACAAAGGCATAACTTAGCATTAGGAATCCCCTTAAAGGTAAAGGTAAAGGTTCCCTTGCTCAAAAGCCAGTCGAATCCGACTCTAGGGTTGCGGTGCTCATCTCCGTTTCAAAGCCGAAGAGCCAGCGCTGTACGAAGACGTTTCCGCGGTCATGTGGCCGGCATGACTAAATGCCAAGGCGCACGGAACGCTGTTACCTTCCCACCAAAGTGGTACCTATTTATCTACTTGCAATTTCTTGCTTTCGAACTGCTAGGTTGGCAGGAGCTGGAACTAGAGATGGGAGCTCACTCCGTCTTGCGGCACCCGGGTCTTGCTGAACTACTGACCTTCCACAGCCTGCAGTTCAGCGTCTTAACCACTTGAGCCACCGCAGCTCCTTGGAATCCCCTTAGAGCATATCTATACAATAGACTTAACGTGGGTTTAATTGCCTCTCCTAGGAAACATAGATGGAAGTGGGGGTGGTCAATCCTCCCTCTAAGCTGTGGAGTCTTGTGAGCAAAAATTCTCCTTTGTGAGCGACTGGCGTTAAAGTTGTGAGTGAGCGATTTGGCTACTGCATACATTAGTTTGCTCTGGAGCTGTCCTTCCTGAGCGAAGACAAAAATGTGTGAGCCGGAGTCTAAAAAACTGTGAGCTAGCTCACACTAACTCAGCTTAGAGGGCACATTGGTGGTGGTTAGGAACCACTGCCAGGGAATCCTCCACATAGCACACCAGACTACACTTCCCAGGATTCTTACAGGCAAGTCCTGACAGCTCAACTGGTATAAACAGATGTGTTATTAACTGTGCCTCTTCCTATCTCCCAGACTGTGGGTGAGCAGCAGTGATAATTTTCACATTTCTCAACTCTGCCGTTTCAGCTTGAAAAAAATCCCTTCTGTAGATCAGACCTGTGATTCTTTATCTTTATGGCTTTTCTAGTTTCCTCAGTCTGGATTTTCCCTGCAAAATGCACACAGTTTTTCACCATTCAGTATTACCCAGGGGTCATTTCCTGCAGGAGCGCACAGGAGTCAGGCTGGCTCCTGCCAGTGGAGCTCCAGCAGTAAAGAGCCCAGGGGGCGGGCACATGCAACAAACCCCAACCCCTGCTCCCAGCAGCCCTCTGTCAGAGTAAGAAGCAGCCAGGTAAATTGCAGAGCCCCCTCGCCCCCCCACGGTCCAAAATAGTCCAGTGGCACTTTTAAGACTGAGTTTTATTCAGGTACAAGCTCTCTCTCCTCTGCGAGGATAGATCTCAACGTCCCCCCCCCCAATAGCTAGCAATCCAAAACAGTCCAGTGGAGTCTGAACGGTGGGTGTTGCCTTCTGACACACTTCCGGTGATGTCAGGGTGTGTGGCATAGGCAAATAAGTTATGCTAATGAGTCATGCTAATGAGCTCCTGCACCTCTTTTTCTACGAAATGACTCCTGGTATTACCCATTGTCCACACAAGTGACTTACTCCATATACGTATATATAGAAATCATACGGCAGACATACACCGCACAAATGGATTTACAAAATCCATAGCAAAAAGCAGAGAACCGAAAACAAGCTGACAAAAAATAGAAACAGATCTAAAAAGAAATTCAACAGGGAACATTTACACCTTCCTAACGGGATACGGGGAGGGCCGGGATGTATGTTTCACTGTTTCCTTTCTCTGGTTATGAAGTTAAAAGAAACAGGTGAATCTAGCATGTGTGACCTGAGAATGCGGGGATTATGTACAAGCGGTATGCATGGGAAATGGGCAGCAGATACCAGCTTTTAAGAAAACGAGGGTTACTTGTTTATCTGTTTGAATTTTTAACACGTCCCATCCTTGGGGACTCACAGTGCAAAACAGCATTTAGTGAGTAATGGAAACGTTTAAACGTGATCAAAAACAACAAACTCAGCTCAAACGATGGATACCTGAGCAAAGAACATGCTGCATTCACAGAGAGGTGAACTTTTATCTACCTCAAGATCCTCCTAGTATCCATGGACAGTAGGGATGCCCCCAGGTGGGACCTGGGGATCCCCCAGAATTCCAGCTCATCTCCAGACTACGGAGATCAGTTCCTCTGGAGAAAATGGATAGTTTGGAGGGTGGACTGTAGGGCATTGTACCCCATTGAGGTCCCTGGCCTCTCCAGGTGCCATCCCCAAATCTTCAGGAAGTTTCCCAACATGGATTTGGCAACCCTACCCTACCCATCCCCCAACGGTGGCTGGGGGGTGGGGGTCTTGCAACCCTAATGGACAGGAATGAATATCAAACCATCACCGATGCACTTGCTTCTACCGAATAAAAAGAGGCAATCTCTATGGCAGTGGTGGCGAACCTATGGCACGGGTGCCAGAGGTGGCACTCAGAGCCCTCTCTGTGGGCACGTGTGCCATCGCCCCAGCCAGGCCCAGACCATCATTCAAGTGTCGAATTCTCTGCCAAATAATTTTAAGTAAATGAAAGCATTTGGGATTGCTTTCCTTACTTTGTTTGGATCATCTTAAGTTAAGGTATGAGCTGTTTTTTCTAAAGTAAAACCTCAGTATTCAGGTTAAATTGCCGTGTTGGCACTTTGCGATAAATAAGTGGGTTTGGGGTCGCAGTTTGGGCACTCGGTCTCTAAAAGGTTCGCCATCACTGCTCTATGGGCACCGACCTTTGTGAGTTTAGGAGGAAGGGAAGGTGAACCAAAGACGATGTCTGCTCTATGATTGCCCCCTCCAGGGAACGAATAATTTCCCCAGAGAATCTTGTATGGTGCCCATTCTGTTTTCTTTAAGGTCCCCAGCCCCTGTTTAAACTCTCGGACTTTTAATGGTTAATTTGGCTGTGGTACCTCTGGTCTGTTTTAATATGTGCTCTTAAAAGGCACATTACGAACACTAATGAGAGCAGGTCAGAAGCATTATGATCAAATCAACAGTTAAGGGGTTTTATACTGGTCTTAGTGAGCTCGTTCTGAGAAAAAAATATATAAATGGTCTATACTATTTTTTTTTAATGCAAAGTTGCTACATCTGGTGTACCCACACGGATCAGTGCACCGCCTTACACACCTGCAGTAACTTACATTCCCATGCGTGGTTTTCTCAGACATAGTAGATTTGCTCCTCTGCAGTTCTTTTGTGTTCGCCTCCACCTCCCACATCAATCAACTTTCATTTCCAGGTTTTTTTTCTGTGCCTCAAAAGCAGCTTCTCTAAACACTGCAACAGTCCTTGGCTTCCCTTTGCTCCTGCTATCTCCTCAGCCAGAGAGAGAGAGAATGAAAA